CCAAAAACATTTACCGATTTATTTCTGAGAAGAGTTTTATATAAGTTTTACATGCATATATTTAAAAAACAAAATTTCCTATAAAAAAATGTGTAATATTTCATTGCTTCAAATACAGAACATTAAAAAAATATCCAGAGTGTATTTATAATTAAACCACAATGTTTCCACTTGTCAGTGCCTCGATTTCTAGGCTAATCAAATGTATATAATCATCATTGCATCACTTCTGTTTATCACAGTTTTGTGTTTGTAGCTCAAAACACCCACTATTTATTATATCACTCATTCATACATGTACTTAATATATCAATTAACTATTCATGCTTTATCAGTACTATATTTATCACCATGTGATTTCATACAAGTAATAGTACTTAATCAGTGCTTTAAAAGTAGAACTTTAACTGTTGGGGCGGATGCAGGATTTGCTTGAGAGTGCACACGACCCCTGGCACTCTCATACCTTAAAAATTGTACAGTTCGTCGGCTTTTCCTCGTGTCCGAGAATTTTTCTCAACATCTTAGTGTCTCAATATGTGTCGGTGCCTCTTGTGGCTAGCAAAGCCGAGTTTGGTGTGGAACAATTTTCTGCACATGTCACATCTGATTAACGGTGGGGATCTTGGTTTGGATTGACGGATCTTTCGACGTCGTCTTTTTTCCGCTTCATTTCTTTTATGATGTTATTCAAAATGAGCTGCACCACTCTCAGTGATGTGTCGCCATGTTGCTCTGTTTTCAACATGTGTTTCCCAAGATTTGGGGTCAATATTAGAACTTTTCATTGACTGTTTAAGTTGGTCTTTAAATTGTAGCATGGGAAGACCACGAATTCTCTTGCCTGAAGCAAGCTCACTGTAAAGACATTGTCGAGGCAACCTGGTTTTGTTCATGCGGTTGACATGCCCAGTTCATCTGAGGCGGTGTTTGATGATGGTAGCCTCAATGCTGTTAGTTTTAGCTCTTTCCAGAACTTCTAGGTTGACGACAAAATCCTCCCATTTGATATTCATGATTGATCGTAGTTTCTGTAGATGAAAACGTTCTAGTTTAAGAATGTCTCGGCGGTACAGGGTCCAAGTTTTACAACCGTAGAGTAAAGTGGAAACAACGCAGCTTGGTATACCATGAGCTTGGTATGTAGATTAAGGTTTTTGTTTCCAAAAACACGGTGAAAAAACGATACTTGATCCCTACACCAGGATTGGTAGGAGGGATTTCGTGGAGCATGGCTGCAAGGTACAGAAAGAACAAGGTTGGTGCGAGAACGCATCCTTGTTTTAGGTCATTGGTAATCGGAAACTCTTCTGATGTCTTGTTTTTTTCGGTGTTATGTTCAAAAATGGTGAAAAAAATGACATCAGTAACACATTTTTCTGGTTTTATTAAACTGTATCCGGTCTCCTTGATTTTATCTTTTTCATATTTCGGCCTTATAATTTTTCAACATTATTATTATTACATAAGATGGTCAACTGCTCTCCTTTTTTTGAAGAAATACAATTTGACAGCTGTAGCCAGTGGCGGGATTTCAGGATTTACCAGACGGGGATCCGGGCCCCGACGGAAAAAAAGGTGTTCGTGGTCGGGCGTCGCTCAAAATTTCTCCAAAGTGTTCTAGGGGGAAAAGCCCCCGAAAGTATGACAATTTATGGGTTTTAAATTCTGTTTTAATCGATTTTGGAGTCTAATAATATGTAGTAAGTACATTCGCTAACCTCAGCCCCAACCATGGTGGGCTGAAATGGGTTTACTTATTCTTTTATTACCAAAACAAGACGTTCACAAAACAATATATTAGGTGGTCGGGCAGGACTTCAGAAGTGAATCTAATCACTTATTACATTAAGTATGAAGTCCTCGAACACCTAGCTTCATAAAAAAAAACCATTGCCATTAAAACAGAAAATATTACATTTTTATAGACTTTTATTTATTCTAGTTGCCATATTTACTCACCTCGGTTTTACCTTTTGCGGGGATGAGGTGGGTATAGACTCTATTTCCATGCTAACTAATGCTGTGGCACCTCTTGTATTGGAGGAGTAGAGCGGCTCTACTGGTTACCAGCTGCTACTTCCGGGCATTCAGAGGTGCCAACAAAGTGTTCACTAACCATATTGGGGCTAGGGTGGAATGCACTCAAACCACACTAACTTTAAATTATGTATCTGTGGATGGGTAGTTTCCAACTTACCTGCAATAGATGTGTATAAGAGACAGTATATATATAAGGCATACATGGTTCCCTTACTTGTTCGAAAGAGGTTTGTGTTACAGAGTAGTCTTCAATTCTCAGAGCTATTTTCTGTCGTTCAATATTTCCAAAAATGTCGGCGAGGGATGTACTCTTCATCGGCAGTTCGTACTGAACTAAGTTCAGATGACATTCCTATAAAAATGATATTTGATAACATATGTGATAGTTAATACGTTGTAAAATATGGTGTCATGTATGTTCCACATAGATATTCGAAAGTCGGTTTGCAACACAGACAATCGATGCTAGTCGTTGACTCTAGGAATATCAAATTTACGGTATTATGATTAAATAAGGTAAACTCGTCTTGTGATAATACTATATCGTTATTCGCAAGACGTATAATTACAGATACATTTTGAACGTTCAAAAAGGGGAATCTGTGAGCTGAGGGAAAAACAGGGATTCGAACCCGAGACCTTATGCTGTCATATGCAACTAATTGGTCCATTGGAGCTTCGGTGAGAACTCAATTTCGATTAAAGCAGCTGATCTTTCACACTTTTTTGCCCACGTGTAGTTGAACAGTATGTACTAGTTCCTGATAAAACGAAAATTTCCAATCTTTAAACATGTGCACTTGTGACGGTAGTTTGACCCAGGACAAAGAACATACCTTCAGAACGGCGGTTGGATAATTTTGACCAAAGAAGGTAGTAATTTGTCGAACTGCTTGTTCGTCTGCTCCTCGTAGGATGATAGTGAAGTTATCACCAAAACGACTCTTGACATGCTGCGGACTTCCAATGCACTTGAATCTGCCGTTGACCATTATGGCTAAACGAGTACACAGGGCTTCACACTCTTCCATGCTAAATAAAGAAGAAAAAAAGACACGCATTTTTAATTGATTATATTCTTTTTACATAGGTTATTAACCATGTAATTATTCGGGTTTTAGATTATGGCAACCAACCTATGTGATGTAAGGATCACTGATTTTCCAGCTTTCACTACACTGTTGATCATTTTCCATACTCTACGTCGACTGATCGGGTCCATACCAGTAGTCGGCTCATCCTACGTAAAAGTTAGAAGCAACAAAATATTAGGTCTATATAGACGATTCTATAAACAGTGTAGCAATATGGTGACGCATGAATAGCTATAGTACTTTAGCTAGTAGTAAGTAGTAGCAGCAGTAGTAGTAGTACCTTAAATTGGCAGAAGATAGTTTGCTTACCAAAAATAGAATATTCGGGTCTCCAATGAGTGATATAGCAGTTGATAGTGATCGCTTCATGCCGCCGCTGTATGTGCTGATTCGTTTATTGATGTACTTGTCCATTCCAAGCTTGCCAGTTACAAACGGAATGATCTGAAAAAAGACCATTATATGTCATTGATTTTATTATTTTTTATATTCCTCAATATCAAAAAAAAAGTAATTAAAGTTATTACTGTATTGTTGTTATAAGAATCGTCTGCAGAAGAGAACCCAGAACACAAGGATCTACACGGTTTAGCGCACAGTGGGTAAAACCACTTTTAACGAATAAAACTGCGCTATGCTAAAGTGTACGTACTCTTATCTTAGACTAAATTCATTCTGATATTGTAATGCCTCTCTCTACTGATAGCGCATTTTAGTGCACCAAATTACGAAAACATACAGTACATACGGTAACCCTTTAAACGGTAGTGTATAACGTCTAGTCAGATACCTACGATTATCAAATTCGTCTGATGAATAGCATAAAATAACGTATGCTCACTAGATTGCAAATTTGATTTAAAATTAAACATAAACAAAAATCACCTTTTTTATTTGTTTAATAGACAAGCCTTTAATCATGCCGTAACACACCAGTAATTCATGACCAGTGGTCAAATCGCATACAGCATCTTTCTGCGGACAATAGCCAATCCTAAAATATAAAATAGACGGTCAGAAAAAAAGATAAATGGATGCCTATTTAAACAGCATTATAACCCTAATGATTTTTGATAGATGACCTGATTATAACTAAATGATAATAATATTTTTGAAAAAGTATACATTGCGTATAAATGTAATTTGTGGTAGCAATAGTATAAGTGATATAAATATAATATGGATAATTTTTCAATTCGTACCTGCTATTATGATCAATGCTGACGCTACCTGTAGTAGGCTCAGCATCACCAGTCATCATCTTAAATGTCGTCGTTTTACCAGCTCCGTTTACTCCCAAAAGTCCGAAACACTGTAAGAAAGCGTACAAAGCGGGTTACTTTGAAGTCGATTAGTCTTATATTAAATTATGCCTACTTTATGCAGTATTATATAGCAACCGATGACTGCTATATCAGTTGGCTATCAAAACTAACATTAAAAGACGGCTTAAAGCAATTAGTAGAGCATGCATCGTACACTAGCGGAAACTTATTATACTTAGGTTAGGTTTAATACATTCAAAAATTTGTTCAAGCATTAAATCTAACCTTCGTGTATAATAATTTTCCTATAGTGTACTATGCGGAGCTCTACTAATTGCTTATTATTATACGAAGGATAGATTTAATGCTTGAAAAATTTTCCTTCGGGCCTGCAAGGCCCGAAGGAAATTTTTGAATGCATTAAATCAACATAAGTATAATTTTCTGCTGTGTACGATGCATGCTCTACTAAATGCTTTATAAGTCAATCGCCGTCTTTTAATGTTAGATTTGATAACTAACAGTTGTAGCAGTCATTGGTTGCTATAGTGATATGATCAGTATAAGTGTGCGTATTTACAGTTAGCTGTGCGTATGCTGATTGCTGGTTTTAGTTAGGCAACCGACGCCATGTTAGAGGGCCTAAGTGAGGTATCAGTTTAGACAAGTTTCTTTTAGCAATTGTTTAAATTATTGTTAAAAATAACAATATTCTTGCAAAACCTTTTTATAATAAATTTGAATTTAACGTAAATGATTATTTTTCAAATCATCTATCTACTTGATATGACTTTTTATGCAGTTCAAGAAAGTGCAAACAAAGTTATTTACGTTATTAGGGATCGACGTCACTATAACAACGCGACTTTCTTGCGCTATTGAAAACTGCATAAACAGTCGCGTCTAAAAAAAAATACTACGTTAAATTTAAATTTATTACTGAAAAGTATTGCAAGAATTGTTATTTTTAACTGTAATTTATACAAATGCCAAAACAAACTTTTCTAAACTGGTATGTCACTTTGGCCCTCCAACATTGCGTCGGAGGCCTAATTTTTTTCTGTAGCAGGATTGGTCAATGAGCTGTCCAGCTCTAATTCCTCCATGGTATGACTTTATAAAATGTGGAACTTCGAATAGGCCTATATAAAATAAATAAATAAATAAAATATACAGTACCTCTCCTTTCTGTATTCCAACACAAATACTGTCAACAGCAACTATCCTGTTTCCACCGGCTCGATAAATCTACAGGGAGAAAGAAAGATTAGTTTGAAATTATTGATTCATCATCCCCACAATCATCAGCATCATTACCATCATTATATTTACCATTATATCAATATTTCTATAACACAAATGTAAATTCACCTTCTTAAGATTTTTAACTTTGACCATTGCATCATTGGCACCACCTTCGAGAACTCGCTGACGCTCTTGTCTAACGTCATCATCTTCTCCTGATAGGTCTGTTTCCTTAATCAAACACCTTGAACTAAAATACATTATTTTATATTGTTATATAATATTTTCGTATATCTTTATTTTCTAAAAAAAAAATCATTTTTAATGAGCTTAACACAATTAGAAGTTTAATTACGCACCTTAATTATCTAATTCTAAGGCCGCTTTTGACGGATTTGGAGCTAAGGATATTTAATTTCAACAGCATTTATTTTAATAATGTGATATGTCTACTTTTTTTCCAACTTACCTGCAATTACAGTTGCATGCCAAGATGTACTCAATCAAAATGGCGACAATTAAGAAAAACGCTCCCTCCACAGCCAGTGCAATGAAATTCCATTGAAGCATTTCCTTACTGAATGGATTCTCATACATATCGATGCCAAAACGTGCGTACATGTCAGCCTCAAATTGGTTGTAAATGAGATTTGTTAAACCTCCTGCCAAACAGTATTGAGGAAAGACAAGAGAACAATAATTTATTGTCTCGTAAATGTCCTCATGCTCAGCGTCCTACAAGACAAAGAAAACGTTAATTATTATTTTAAAGGGTGATAATGATTATAAAATCTATTATAATTATTTTTTAGGCTATGAACAAAACATACAATAGAAGTGTTCAGCAAAATGGTTGAAACAATTGCATTTACAATGAGTTAAACAAATTACACAACACCACATTGCATTATATTAGTCATTATCATTACCATTCCTGTAACATTACTGTTATAGGAATCGTAATAAATACCATTATCATTAATCATTGTTATTAATAATAAACATCTTCGTTATTATAGCATTAGCAGCAATGATAAACATAACATAAATAAATACATAACGTAGAAATTAAACAACTCACCGGAAACAATTCCCTGATTATCACTGGAAGATTTGTTAACATAGCAATGAAAATATTGACACAAAAGAGAGTTATAAACGCTGTACCAACGTCCTTGAACGCTCGAATCGAAATGTACATCACCGGAATTACCGCCCATCTGTTTGTTACAAAAAATATAATAAGTTCAATCTACATGTTAATATCTAAACAAAATATTACATTTGGTGTTGCGGTGTAAATTTACAATTTCTCTTAAATACAGTATAACCAGTTATAATAAATTATTGGAAGCTCCATGGGCTTATGATCCATGTATCAATCTGAAATAACAAATGTGTCTATTGCGTTGAGAGAAATACAGATGGCTTATATAAAACAGGGTCAATGAAATGTTTAAATAATATTATTTCCAAATAAATGTTCACTAGATTTTACCATAAATGCTTTGATACGTTTAAGTATCAACAAAGATACTAAAATTATTAAAAGCTCCATGGGCTTATGATCCATGTATATATCTGAAATAACAAATGTGTCAATTGTGTTGAGAGAAATATAGAAGGCTTATATTAAATAAGGTCAATAAAATGTTAAAATAATATTATTTCCAAATAAATGTTCACTCGATTCTACCATAAATTCTTTGATATGTTTAAGTAACGACAAAGTTGGCAGATAAACATCATTTGTAGCAACCTATCGGTGACAAGAGGCGAACTACACAGTTGCATATCTTCCGATTTCGTTTTTTCTTTTTAGGTGAATAATTTCAGTCATACCCATAAAGCAATAGTAATGTTGCAAATGCGGGCATATTGTCAGGTGAAGCAAACGATTCCGCGTCAAACAGGTACACAATCAAGAGTGTGATACCAACTGGAACTAAAAACGTTATCTAAAAGAACAATAAAAGATCAATATTATATTTAAATTATACAGTATATCATATCGTATTATACCATAAGCCCTCGAATAGAAGCCCCATGGGCTTAATCTCGAGAAACCCATCTCGAAAAGAATCCCCTCTTCAGTTTGAAAAAACCCTTGGCCATCAAGATAATATGGGGCTTCTTTGGAGGTAGCATTTAAATTCATACTGACGTTATCATTGTAATAGCATGGTTAAAATTCAAATAAAAAAAGTATTAAACAGAATTTCGAATTCTATAAATAAAAAATGTCGTATAGCTCTAGTAGCAATTCCAAAATTACAGCATTTAATTTGAAAAGAAGCGCTCCTTCATAGTTTGCAAAAGTAATGTTGAAAACAAGCCCATTTCGAAAAGAGGCCCTTCACCCAAGGATTCTAAATAAGAAGCCCAGAGCCTTTATTCGAGGTTTAAGGGTATACATACTATATACTATATCATTATAACGCATTATTATTACAGTATCATCACCATTAAAATAACATACAATACAATACATAGCATTAAAATATACTATACTAATTATAGTATACTATATTAATTATATTTAAATTTATGTAATCAGTGTTGCTTGATTTAATTTGAATTTAAAATGTGAAAACCCTCAAAGTTCAATTAAAATATTGAAATGCCCAATCAGACACAGGACTGATTACAAACACTTTAATTTTAAAAGCTAACATACGTTACCAAAATAAAGTACCAACTAAACTAAAGTGTTATACTCACTAGGTCCCACACAATGTTGCTTATGATGTAAAGCATTTTGGGCATTCCACTGACATAATGTTGTCGCTTAGTTCCGTTTAAGTTTTCACCAACGAGATACACGACGAATGCGGCCGGAATCATCGAAAAAGCGCATACTAACAAGATTGATATTCCGTAGTTAATACCCGCCTCCAAACTAAAGAAAATGTAAATAAAGATGCTAATTTTATCATATCATCATTTAGAATAGAATTGAAAAGTTGGTGTTTAAGATATATGCTTTTCAATCCCAAGGTCCTTCAATTATTATATATTAATATATTATATTTATTTATTTATTATTATTATTTTTTATTTAATATTTCTATGATATTTATTTAAGTAATTGAAACTAACGTATACTTCACAGGGATAACATAATAACATTCTTTGTTATTAGCAACAACCGTTACGTAGTTTGATTTCATTTCATTTCAAGGCAAGAGATGAACATTAAAAAATATACTAATGCCTAGGATTGACAAAAGCGAACTGAATCACTGTTGAAGACTCTTCTTTAACAAAATTATAAATATAAATAATGTAAATGCAATAGATTAACAAAAATATACTTGTCGAAGAAATAAAGCATTGAATAAATACACATTGAATAGGTTTTCACTTCGGTATTTGAAACAGCAAGACAGGATCTGAATATCAGGCAAGATGTTTAGATGTGTCTTTGTTGGAAATTCTTTACGTATGAAAGCTGCAACAATCATTTTCATTAACGTACCAGTACTTACTTGCAACAGGAAAGCAAGAATTGTATCTATGATTATATTTCTGCTAAATTATACTATTATTTTATATTATCCAGAATTTAGTTTTGACTACTACTTCACATAAGCTACCGGTACTAAATACCTGAATATAATATAATTACCATAAGTTGGAGCAGTGTCTCTTGGGAAATTTGCCCTTAGTATAATATTGTTGAGCACATTCAAAGAAGTCGGCAATGCATGTAAACCATTGTTATCATACCAAGCCTGAAAAAGAATAGAATGTAAAAGGCTTAATGTGATTTGACCTGCCACTGAACACCTAAATATTTACATTTGTATTCTTCGAAGAATTATTTAATTATAAGAGACTACTGATAAAATTAGACGGACGAAACGTCTTAAATGAGTAAAAAATGAAAATCAAATCGTTCCATTTATATGATACCATTCCAACAGTCGTTGCTCGTGGCGCAGTGGATTAAGTGTAATAATAATAATAATAATAATTATTATTATTATTAAGTGTAAGTGTTGCACTTTTGAATAACTTTCCCCTCCCCTGAGGGTCACTTCATGTCCTCTGGAGCCGGTATACCGGGTCACTTTCATCTGTCCACAACAAGGGCCGAGTTGACCAGTACAACGGAGTAATCCCCTATTCGTCATGAAAGATGTACTGGGTTTTTAAAAGTGCACATGAGCATTTGTGTACTACGGTTTATATTCTATATCCGATAAGACTTGTTCCACCACCAGAACAAGGAACGAGCTCACCGCGAACCCGTTGCGGTACATTCAACTTTGGTTATACAAAAAATGAGATTAAAACATAACTATAAAACAGTTACAGTACTCTTATCCATTCTAAAGTATGTTTTGGAATTTCTTGGAATTAACTATGTAACTGATGCGAAATGATAAATAATTCCAACTGTGAGAATAATCCACACTATTATATTCTAACTTGTACAACAAAGATAAGGTAGACAATGCTTTATACAAACTATTATTTTTATTTAAGTCACCTTAAAGCAGTTTGTTAGTGTTGGGTACTTCTTCTAGAATACATTAATTTAGCAGTTTTCCATGGCTTCTGCATTTCTAAGACATGGCTTCATCCTATTGATAGTGTCATTTTGAAGATTAGATTTATATTATTTTATTAAGTCTTTATATAACGCCGAATTTACAGATAAATAATATGCATAAAACATTAAAATAAAACAACCGAAAAGTAGCTTTTACAACACTATAGAAAATAAGGTAATAATAGATATGGCGTACCCTAGTCACGTGTTGCGTACCATTACTGGTCCTTTTAATATCGTCAAATGTAACGCCGATATATCTAGAAAAAGTAAACACAATTTAACAAAAGCATCAATAATAATTGCGATAAGTATTTTACATGAATTTCAAAATGAAATGAAATGCTTCGACTTGCACCGTTTATCCAGGAAAGTAGCCACATTAAATAAATATACTAGTATCAATCACTGACATAATACTATTCTAAAAATTTCTGAAAGTTTCAGGCACCTTTTCTCAGTAAAATCACCCGATGTACGTAGTAAATATTCATTTATGTCCATCTTAATGCTCAGGTCTTGTAATATTGTTGTTGTGTTCGTTCGCCAATACAGAGGATCTGCTCCCCCGGCCCCCTCTGGACATATCAAATAGCCATCGCCACAGGAACAACTAGGCGCCTGTCTATCCTGTTCCCACCTCTTCACTTTTTCTGAGTAACTCAATTCGGACGCCAGTTGTACTTTATCTTGAGAGTCTATACATGGATATTCACTCCTGTAGTAATAATAAAAGCAATCTATTAATAAATACAATTATTAAAAGATATTCATTTGGGCAAATGAGCAGTAAAGTTTGCCAAATTTATAATAAAAATATCATAGGCTTTCTAAGGTTTGTATTGTAGTCGCTATTAACTTATTATACTTTACATTAGGGATACTATGAAACTGGATATTACTTGTCATTAGAATCGGCCATGCAACTCGTTCCAATACCCGGATTGTATACAAGATTATCTGTCATCTGTTCTACAAAATAATCATCCCTATCACCATTGCTGAAAAATATCGATAAAATACAATTCAAGTAATGGATAGCAAATAATTCATTATTGATAACATACAGTAATCAAAAATATAACTGACGATAAGATTGAATTATAAGTATTACATACATTATATAAATCAATCATTAAAAAATGTTGACTAATAACAAATTGAACTAACACTTCCACTGCTTCTACTAAAACTATACTACTGTAACTGCTATCGCAAGTTCTTCCAGCTGCTAATGCTACTACTCCTGCTCCTGCTACTGCTACTGCTACAGCTGCTGCTGCAGCCGCTGCCACTGGCGCTACCACTATTACTACCACTACTACTGCTACTACTACCACTACCACTACCACTGCCACTGCCACTGCTACTGTCACTGCTACTGCTACTGCTACTGCTACTGCTACTGCTACTGCTACTGCTACTACTACTACTACTACTACTACTACTACTACTACTACTACTACTACAGCTGCTACTACTACAGCTGCTACTACTACTACTGCAGCTGCTGCTGCTACTAATGCTGATGCTGGTGCTCATGCTAATGGTGCTGATGCTACTACTACTACTACTACTGCTACTGCTACTGCTGCTGCTACTGCTACTGCTACTAAGGTTTGTTGATGCGTTTTACGGAAAATTTAAGTTGAACCCTAAATGTAGGTTAACTTTAAAAAATGCTTTAACTTATGTTACCCTGATATTATAATTAACAGTTTATTAATATAAGATGTTGTAGGATTATATGCGTTACTGGCACGTTTCTGTTATAATGGACCAGATGGGACAAAGGACCGACCAAGCACGGAAAATGGCCAATGACAATTCCTGTATTGAACATGCGAGTCATTTATAATTTAACATCTTCCAATTTTTACTGTTTATTCCTTTTTTTTTTTGCAATAATCAGCTCTTCCAATCAATCTGTATAAACATGTTTAACTAAAAAATGTTAGCTAGAAAACTGATAATCATGCACAACCACTTGCAAAACACACCTGAAAAAAAGGTAACTGGATGGTCCAAACATAGCAGGATCTAGCTGTCTTGACGGGAAACTTGGAGTTGGTCGTATTTCTTTGATAAGCAGAGCTAAAGCAATCAATGCAGACGGGAAGATGATGGTCCAGAAGAATCCTCGTATGTCACGTCTAACACTGTGGAACCTCTTGTAAATGATCGCTTCGAACTGGTGGATAACTAAGATTAATCCCGTAATGCGAATAGAGTCATCAACCTCGAGTGAGTTTGTAGATGTTGAAGTTGCAGAGTTAGAGGCTAAAGTGTTAGATGACGGCAAACACAAAAATAATACAAATAACAAACATGTATAGCAGTGAATGCAATCATCATGCATTTGTGCCCGTGTTCATACAAATTAAATAACAAACCAAGGCTTGCAAAATGACGACATCTCATATTTTTAAAACGAACTTCAACTATAACGTTTAATATTTCCCCTGCACTTCGGGTAAAACGCTGCGTACGCAAGCTTAATTTAGTCACGCACAGCTGACCTGAGATGTGCACGTACAAACTAGTGGCACTAACATTTACCGTAGCGCACAGTATGACACTGCTTTTTTGTTTCGATCTATTTTGACGATACACAGTCCTAAGACTTATTTTACTACCACGTTTCAACTATTAGACAAGTAGAAATAGGTCTCCTAGTCAAACAAATTGCAAAAGCTTGTTTTATTGCTGAAATATTTTCTTTTGCCTGTAACAATTTGCATATCCAAAATCTACCTTGATCGGCCAATACTAAATTACCTAATTTGCATAAATTCAAAATGGCCGGCATTTGGAAACTTTGCAGCTAATTTTCTCCTCAACAATTACATATTGAGCATATATATATATTGGGTACAAATATAAACATGAACCCAAATAATCCGAATCACACATTTGATTTGCGAAATGACCTCTCGGTGACATTAGGTCAAAGGTCAACTCCTTATTTGGGATACTTAGCAGGATATTTGCATAAAAATGCAAGTGTTTACTAAAAGAAGGTCATTTTAACCTTTTTATGTGCAACTACGATTATTTGTATTCAATGATATTTACATGTAAATAGTTTTAAAAAAATGGCATTTTTAAAAATATTCTGCTTAAGATACAAAATAAGAGGTTGACCTTTGACCTAATGACACTGAAAGGTCATTTGGCAATCAAATATGTGATTTTGATTTCTTAATTTCATGTTTTATACTTATTATCATTTATGCAAAATGTTTAGAAAATTAATTATGAATGCAGAACTGAGTTTGTAATGCTGTATAAACCTCTTACAAATCCAAATTTGACCCTGACCTTTGACACTGTCAGGTCATCTGAACTTTTTTCTGTGCAATTATGATTATTTGTAATAAATATGATATTTACATGTAAATGTTTATAGTAAACACTTGCATTTTCATGCAAATATCCTGCTAATTATCCTAAATAAAAGGTTGACCTTTGATCTAATGTCACCGAGAGGTCATTTCACAAATCAAATGTGTGATTCGGATTCTTTGGGGTCATATTTATATTTGTACCCAATAAATTTATATGCTCAATCTGTAATGGTTAAGGAGAAAATAAGCTGCAAAGTTTCCAAATAGCGGCCATTTTGAATTTATGCAAATTAGGTAATTTATTATTGGCCGATCAAGGTAGATTTTGGATATGGTAATTGTTACAGGCAAAAGAACATATTTCAGCAATAAAACAAACTTTTGCAATTTGTTTCACTCAATGCCTATTTTACATCTATTTCTACCTAGCTGTCTATATAGCTACTTCAAAGGTAGTCGGAATGTTCGTTTTAAAAATACGGGTGTTAGTCGGTGAAAGATAGAAACAAAATTACTTTTATGTTACATAAGGCGAGAATTTGTTATACCTTGTTTAGTGAACCCTCTGCCCGCTAATAATGATGGTTTCAAATGAAAATAAAATTTTATCTTTGACCTTTACTGCACCCGCCGCTACAAAAAAAAGAGTGTTTCTTTATTTCCATTACGCCCACCGCAGCCGTTAAATCTTCAAAAACAAGATATGTATATCTTCTGCCTAATTAAATAAACTTTAAGTATTTAAATATCCCCACTACACTGTTTACATTCACCAATGAAATTTATTTTCTCCTCCGTCTGGATGTTTTTGGCAAAACTATTTGCTAAATAAGAAAACACAATTTTATTTTTATTTTTGTCCACCCTCATCTGACGATCTTTAAAAAAAGTAAGTTCGCGAAACAATGTATAAAAAGTCTCTCCTTAACTGATAAAGTATCTCTATCACATTCTGGTAGCAAGATATACACCACACGTCAGATGATGTCAGTGGGTTTGTGATTGTGAATATAGTAACGTGCTGCATTCAAAATCGTCCACTGATGTGGACTTTAAAATATTCATTTACATTTATGTTGCAGGAGGCGAATAGTACAAGACGAAACAGAAGAAATCATAATCCAACTATTGAACGGAAATTGTCATTCTAACAATGTTATAATTAAAGAAAGTGGAATAAAATATTAAGATTAGTTACCAGTCACCAGTTTGTAATAGAGTCACTTAAGGGTATGATACAATTTTTTTTATAGCATTGTTTATATGTATACTATATAAATATATATACATATATATATATACATATATACACATATATATATACAGTACATAAATATATACCAACAGGTGCACTGATTATATTTAAATAGCATAAAACGAACGTTACTCCGAATAAAGAAAGGAAGGCCATGATTCAATGGCCTCCCTTTCTTTATTCGGAGTATTACGGTATAAATAAATATTACGGTATAAATATATACAACCTCATATTAAAAAAACTCTTAATACTCTTAAATATTGTTTGATATTTCAAACAACACTGTAATCACCGTCGGTGCTTAGTATAGAGATTATGCAGGAACTTATATTTCAAATGTTTGGGTGTAAATCTTCTCGTGAAGTACTTATCTTTGACAAACATTGTCTTAAAACACAATGATTGTTTAATACAACAAAATAGTTATCTGCGGTCTTTAAGCCTAAACTCATGAGCCATTGAGAATGCTGTAAAAGTCTCTCTAGATTAGAAGTTATTGTAGGCCCTTACAGAAGATTACAAGTTACAGAACTTCAACATGACAAAAGCAAAGTAATACAGATCATTTTTAAATCCTTCTAAAATACCCCTCCCCAAACATATTAACTGGCACAGCTACGCTGTTCCAAGCATTAGCACCAGTCTCTCGATGACCAAACTTAAACGTTATCTTTTTCTTACCTCTAAACCATATATCATTATTTCCACTGTACTCGTGATTGAACATCCAGTTGTCTTCTCCGTTATCTGCTGATTGTGGCGGCGAATTTGAGGACTTTTTCTTCTCAGATTTTGCAACCGGTGTACTCTCGTCATCTCCGGTTCCACAAATCTTGAAAAAGACCTACACAAACATTACAATAATCATAATTATTTAGAAATAAAACTGCAACAAGCTTATGAATAAACAGAGAAAACAACTGAGCTTTACCAAATAAAACAAAATAACTTAGTGACAATTTTGTCATAAATTTTACAATTAATTGCCTTCCCAAACCTATTCAGTGGTACGCCTACGTACTGCATAGCATCATTTTTTCAAATGAATTGCAATACTTCACCGAAAATAACTAGACATCACCGCCGTTGCTAAGTCGGTAGACGTGACCTCTCTAGTCTTTTCATAATTCGTAAAATTTTAAAAAGAAGATAAATTTTTTTTGAATTTGTGGTCTATTGATAACAAACTAGCACAGCTTATAAACGGAAATATAAAATTTAAATTATAAAAATTGAAATGCGTTCAAACCTCTTCGAGTGATGTATTCGAAATACCATAGCTGGTCAAATGAAGGTTCTCTAACTCTGAGTCAAGTACATTGAAAAATGTCTCGAATTTTTGGGTTTGTCCACTTTCAGTCGGTAGATTATATGAAAGTTCTGAACCAATGTCTTCACTTAGTTTTGCACCCTCAACATATGATTTAATAAACTCCGTCACTGAATTCGTATCACACAGGTCTAAGGGTAAAAATGTAGTTAGATTCAGCAAAAGTACTTCTCACGAAATGTCTCTTAGATTAACATGGTGGTTCCAGTTTGAGGTAATCACTACATTGACAATGCAAATTAACCACATATCTTCCTTGGTGTTTCTTTTAAAACATTCCTCTAAAAACCAACAATGCCCCCAAGTCTATATTTTAAGGTGACAATTATTATTCAAAATAAAAATACGCATATGACATAAATGTATAGGAAGAAAAAAAAATATAAAGTGCAAGCCTACTTGTTCTTGGGCTCAGTCGGGCTGAAGATGATTCGCTGTGATGTGAGGTGGACTGTTTATCATCTATTGAAGGATGAATAACATACTCATTTTCAAGTCTGTCGGCCTCTTTTTGTCTGTTCTCTTCAGTCGTAATGGAGTCGGATCTTTGGGAACTACTGCTCAAGTCGGTGTGTGCCACACGTGTTGTGCTTGGTGTTGACATCTGACTCGCATTCTCTTTTACTAATGTCAGTTTGTACCCACTTCCATATTTTTGTTTTAGAAACATTGGGGATCCACAACATTTAACACGTCCGTGGTCCAAAAACGCAATACGATCTCCTAAGATATCTGCTTCGTCCATGAAATGAGTGCAAAGTATGATAGTGCGCCCTAGACAGCAGAAAACATTATTGTAATTTAAAAGTGATTTCCTGCTATTAAACCGGCTTATTTTTGGTTCAGTTGATGTTTATGAAAATCAAAACATTATTCGCATCCTAAAATATATAAAATAAGACATGATTTGCAAAAATATATAAATATATTTACCTTCTTTATACTGAACAATAAGATCCCATATCGCTCTTCTGGCATTCGGATCTATTCCGCTTGTTGGTTCGTCAAGAATAACAACCTTCGAGCCAGCGAAAAATGCAATAGCAACAGACAATTTGCGTTTCATGCCACCAGACAGGTTTTTTGCTAGTTGGTCTATCATGTCTTTCATCTCGAGCGTTTCTAGCATTCTAAGTGTTACAATGACATAAAGGGAAACATATTTCCATTAAATAATATTTACATTTACTATATATTTAAGATCTGATGTTTGGAAATATCTCAGTATATATTATATCAGCAAAGTTAGAGGGAAGTGCAGGCTCTATATCAAGTATAATCGACAATTAAGCTAAATGACATTTAGTGTTAATGCCTACCTTATCAGTAATTGAATTAAACGACATTGGAATAGTGACATTGTTAGAAATTGTTAACTTACAAATCGATTTCATCTTGTATTCTAGATTCTGATACTCCCTTTAGAGTTCCGTACATATGAAGATGCTCTCTCACAGTCAGGCTGTAAACAATTTTATGTTGTGATATTATTCTGATATTAGACAACTCAAAAATATCAAAATATCATAAAAAACGATTGTAATAGCAAGTATTGGAGATAACTAAAATAGTTATCATCATTTGTAATTTTTTGTAGATTTTATTTATGACATAAATAACCTGGATGTACAAAATTATTATGCTGTGTTTATTTACAACTTTGTTATACAAATTTATTTTAAAAGTCAGAAATTTTAAAATAACTAAAATATTTATTTGCAATTACAGTACAGCGCGAACACGTACTTGTCGTAGAGGGCGTTATGTTGTGGACAGAACCCCAGATCTTGACGAATGACATGAGCATCTGTTTTGATATTGTAATCACCGATGTACGCATCTCCAGAAGTCGGTGAATAGAATCCTGTCAGCATTGACCTGGTAAATAAAACATAGCTAAGTTTATAAAAACGTGTAGGATCAATGATAACGACAAAAACGTAATGTTCTACACAATAAAGTATCAGAGTGTTTGATGGCTGTTTGCTTAATGCAACCTCTCTAAAAAATAAGGTGGGACGAACACAGTTTTTAAAGCATTCAGTTAGAGCATTGCTATTTCTCAAACTGACACGGTATTATTATAACAGACCTCTTGCTTATCGAACGTTTGGCGATCACATACGGTATGAGAGAAACGCACGTGACTCTACAATAAGTTTTGATGACGCTTATACAGAATTTTCAAAATGTTCGCTGACGATTCTGCCAGGCGCCCACAAGCCAAAACATATCTAAACTTCTTTTTTTTTTTCGCAAAAGGAAAAATGAGGCACTACATCAATTATTGTTGCGTTTGAAGTATGAAAGTGTAAGGCAACCGATCGCATTATAGTTAAGTGGATGTTTCATATCAACAGGCATTGTTGCATGAATTTATTAGACATATGAGGTTTGCTATCTAAAACCAGCATCAGTAAACAAAAAATAAAAAATGCCTTTTAATATATTCTTATTTTCCACATTGTAGGCTTTAAACTGATGTGTTATTTGCTAGAATCGATTTACTATTGCTAAAGTCATGATTTAAAGTATTATCTGTGTACTAAAGTATACAATACTGTCACATCTTTATGCTAATAACTCAGCTTGACAATTAAAGACAGTACACTAATTTTGTACCTGATTCAATAGGCTGCTTTTTTGATTTATACTTTTTCTTCGTATTCGCCCCTACACCTTCACCATCACCAGAACATCCACACCAGTATGACGGCATAAGTGGAAAGTACCACGGTTTGCCAATACCGTAATTTCCTAAAGTATAGACAAGTTATAACCAATTACTCAACGTTACCAAGTGTGGGCACATTTAAATATTTTTTTGTATTATTAAGAAATGCTCTCTTTTTCGAACTAAATGTACATTAGGCCTATGATTAAGATGAAGCAGAATATCAAAAAGCAAGTAAATAATGAGTAACCAATTTAAGAAGACGATGTTAAATTTACATCATATAATTGTTTGTTCAGCGAAGGCTGTTCCCATTGAATGTGCAAGGCTTCCTTGATTTTGAGAAGCTGCGTTGTGAATGCAGAATTTAATATGAAGAAACAATTTTCATTGATTTGAACTGTTCAAGAGTTTGAAAATTGAAATTTTTCATCCACCGTTAAGTGTTTCCGCACGCGTGTTTTAAAGTTGCAGCTTGTTTCACCCACATCACGCATTACATTATTACAATTATTTTAAATTGAAAATAAATAAATTTAACATACCAGGGAATACGTTCTTCGCGTACCAGCCTATAATAAAATAAAGTATTCCGTCGGCGGCCATAATGGCACACACGAGCCCGAATGATATTTCTTCTCCTTTAACTGGATTTGTGTCAAAATTACTCCATGTAGCTCCAATAACTTGCTCTTCAAATATAGTCAGCATCTCGCAGCCGTAGCAAAATGCAGACGGTGACAACAAGCACTGAAATGCAATAACATTTTGTAGTACAGTAATAATGTAGTATTCTGTTAGACGAATGAGGTTGCTGTGTCGTAAAATTATATAACATGTGTTTTCTTTTTTCTAGATGTGAAGCAACTCCATTTTCAGAGTCTCGTAGAAAAACTATTTATTACAATGCTTACATTTCCGTGGACAATCATAGCATCATCACAATTAAGCTGAATTCAGACAGAAGCAAAATGTTCGGATTGGAAGGCTTACCGAACCGGTCAGAAAATAGAATCAGTGTGTTAGGGACACTGGCGTTCATCGCTTTGGAAACGCGGTCCGAATTTAGGTTTGGATCCAATGTGAAAGTTTTAACGTAATAATTGGATGGATCATCATCAAATAGACTGTAGGCTATAAACAGCAACAAAAAAGATACTTACCAAAAGAATTTCAGCCCATAAATCTAATTCTGACCCCATTAAGTACAGCAGAAATACAGGAATGAATGAAATGCTGTATATTAGGGCACCTGTTAGGGCAGCGATGTTTGGTCGTTGACACACTGAACCAACCATATAGCTACCATTTAGAAAAACAAAAAGTACTAACATTTTAGTAATTATTAATAATATTATTGTCGGCATCACCATTTTTATAATCATGATTGTCATATTTATCATATCGTTGTTGTATCGATCAACACCATATTTGTCATCCTCTTGTTTTTTCGAACTTTATTGTCATTGTCCCGGTAATCGTCACACTGTCATCGTTATCTTTATTATCATTAAAGAGTGGCCATAAATATCCCGGGCTAGGCCTATGCAAGTTTTGATCAAAAAACAAGATACAAAATACATGTGAACTTGCTGTATACTAATGTATTAATACTAATCTCGTACGTCTAAATATTATACGAACTGCTTTAGAGCCATGGAGTCTAATTCTTTTCTACTTGGAATGTTTGTTTTTATTAAATTTCTAAGCTAGCTACTCAGAAGCGTTTCCTTACCTCATCATCATTATAGAGAAGACGAAGCATTCAAGAAAGACGAAGATAACAAATACATCACTGCGAGATAGAATGTCACCATACTTTAGAATAACAGCTATGGTTATCGCGAGTATTGTAAGGATCAATAAATTAACGAAAAACCACGAAATCCAGTTAATCTTACTCTTCAGACCCATAATCATCATTGTCTATAAAAGATAGAAAAATTCGTACTATTATTGTTAAGCTTGGTTTCCATACAATCGCTACACGCTATCACCGTCAGCTTTCGGTGATAATGATTGGTCGGTCGATTGCGTCGAGGACTGTTACGCAGTACAATGATTGCACTAGAAATACTGTAGCGACAGTGTAGCGATTTTAAGGAAACCAGGCATTCCATAGATATTCATTTCCATGCATACTGTATCGTTACAGTAGGTAAATCGCTTTTAAACAGACTAGCGAAAAAAATAAATAAATAAATAAAATAAAAAAAAAAAACTGTATGTCGGTTATCGAACATTACAAAATCGTAAAACATATGCCGTAAAAGGTAGTAAAGCTAAACTGGTTTACATTTTCATTAGCACGTAGAATTGGAGGAATGGGCACGAAGTACCATTTTATGTGCATAGTTACGCATGTTCACTTCACAGTAGGTGGAGCCACGGTGGTAAAATATTATGTAATATTTTTAATTATACGTGGACGTTTACAAAATCGTCCAGGAACGTAACATATAAAACATATAAGATTCTCTTAATATTTTTTATCGTTAACCATTAACATAACATACCTCTTCTAAACCGTTTTCTTTTTCATAAACCTGACCATAGGACATTACAGCAACGACGACGATAAATGCAATTGTAAGGAATAATGGTATTGCATAGGTAATGTAGTAGGCAAACCTGGATAATTATAGAAAAATAGGAAATAATCAGCATTGAAAAGGCAATTTGTTTTAAAAAAAATAAAATATAAAGATGGTAGGAACTCAAGGTAATAATGATAGGCGCCTGTTAAACTGAAACATAACTGGTCACCTGGAAAAAAAAAATAACCAGATTAAAAAAAAGAAAAAAAAGAAAAAACAAACTACAGTAGAAGTCGAAACTTAGAATTAATGAATCCACATACAATATTTATTTCATCACAGCTTCATTGTTAATATTATAATTTTTTTTTCAAGCCATTCCTAATTATTTATTTCATCACAGAAATACAGAATGTATTAATACCTTTAACGCTCCACCATGTCATTTGCTTTTATTCACCCTGCGTATATTGCCCTGAACATTTTCGACGAAGTATTTAATTTAACAGTGCACAAAATTATGCATGGACCATGGCCTAACCTCAAAAGAATAGGCCTACTGCATTTCAAACAATAAATTAAATTACTAACTCATCATCTTGGTAACATGGGTAAGGCATTTGTTGAATATATGTGGTAGGCTGGATGACATTGCCGTCTGATGAATGCAGGTTGATAATTCCGCGGTCTAGCATATCCTGGACAATTATGAAAGCGCGTAAATACTGCTGATCAGTTTTGAAGTCATTATTAGGTCCTGGTCGCCATAATCTGAAAAATAAATATACACCGATGAATGTATGTAAACATTTATAATTATATTTTCATACGTTACGAATTATAGACATGTGCCAAGCTGTGACTAATTAATAAACTACCTGTAGTCTATGCAATTTCAAGCCAACATAACTACGGATGATATCGCCACGACTTGAATAGGTCACACACGATTATTGGTTCTCTTGCATGTGTCGACTAACTAGGCGTTTCTACCTCACATTCATGCAGCAGAAAATTGGAGGTTGCTAAACGGGGAGGTATGAATTTTAGCTTTGATGTTTGCTATACAAGAATCCGCCAAGCGAATCGCGAAATGTCTAGTGATTCTTAACTTTAGATGACTAGTTTAATAATGGAGAATTTTTGTCTGTCACCTTTGCAGACTATCAAATTTGATTTGACAAAAACATGTGACATACATGCATGATGATATCACATAATGACGATATATAGGTACATCATGACTATATATGGGCATAAAACAGTTGTTTTTTGTCGAAGAAAATGTGATTGTCTGGACAAAGCTTTAGAAAATAAAATTAATGCACAAGGTATTTAATTGAAAGTATCGACAGATCAAATCGTTAGTAATCGTGTGGTCAATTAGATTTAAAGGGCATCCGATAGTCATTGCTATTTGTGCAACTGTTCTGCACTTTTCCTATCAATGTTTTGCACACTACTTACTGTTCAGTAACCAAATCAGTATCTGGTGTATTGTCAATCTCCACTCGAATCTTGTACGAAACATGGTGGGGCACTTCAGTAGCATCATCAATATTCAAAAATCGTACAGCTACAGAAATTAAACAAAAAGTACATTTGTTTATCATACGAAGCACCAAGAATGACAACCGTCGCAATTGCACGCTCTAGCTACCAGTATGTGCTTACGCCAACCTTCATGAATATACATCGGCGGCGTAAGCAGTTCTCATGTGCGATGTGCGACTCGACAATAACAAAACAAAACATTTTTTTAAAAATAATTATTACTTTTGAATCTGAATGAAGTTTATTTTCTTAGGAGAGCATTAAAATTAATGTAAAACAAACCTGCAAATAGTTTATTGTCATCGTAGAGTGTCTCAGCAGCAGCGTACATGTCTGCCTCTGTGTCGTAACCAACGAAGCGATCTACCTCAATACAGTTAGTGAAATTTACTATGAATTCGGCTAGAACATTTATATCTTTAATATCCTTAGCTGTAAGTCCAATACCATCCGTTAGCACGGAGTTCAAGCTATCTGCGTCGATATCTGTTTGTTGTGTCAGTAGATTCTGAACGAATGTATTGTCCAATAAATCCTAAATAAATTTATATAAAGTGAATATTTGTAATGGGTTTAACAACAATAATAGTACAGTAGTAATATCAATAATAATAATAATAATAATAATAATAATAATAATAATAATAATAATAATAATACAATAGCAATAATGTAATAGGAAAAACAGTAATAATAATAATAATAATAATAATAATAATAATAATAATAATAATAATAATAAAATTAATAATAACCTTGATAATGATAATTATAATATAGTTTGTTAGATAAAAGACGATCGAATATCTATAACCGTATGGTTTCATTTGGTAGATTAGACTACTAACACAACCAATACTTAACAAGCTACTAACACAATCACTCACTTATTCACTCACTCATTTTCGTTCGTACAATTCTGATTGATAATTGTGTTATATTGAAATTCAAAGGCAACTTTTACAAGATGATGAATATAAAGTTTATCCAGTAGCAAGAATGTGGAACACAAAAATTTGATTTTGCTGTAATCAAATACTAATAAAATAGTAATTGTCAACAGTTATTTGTTCACCAACACATACCACTAGATTATCAAACTCGTTTGTATTCAAGGAACCTAGGTCTGCCGATCCAGCAAGCCAAGCCTCAGAGAAATCTCGAATCTGCTTGATCTCATCAAACATATAATTTGCCTATGAAGAAAAATAATTGTATTAATGAAACATTGAGTTAATACTTAAAACACCTCTACCCCACCACATTATTACTTACAATTACAGAATGGAACTTACTGACCAATAGAATTGTTTGTTATTACCTAATACATATTCATGAGGTATAGTATTAAATTTATCTAGAACTTGCTATCGATAGTTAGTGATTGTTTCACTCCTGCTAAGTTTTATATCGATTAAGTGAATGATTGTTCTTGTACAATGGTGTGGTTATACTTACTTCTTTTACGATTTTCTGAGCAGCCGGGCTATTAGGTGAGTATGGAATTTTTCCTAATAGAACAGGCTTCAAGTAGGTCCATGCAATGACGCCATCCTTCCCATTATTAATGTAGCGATATAAATCATTACAAAAAGGTGCTATTGAAGAAACATGAACTACACAGTGAATATTTAATAAAGTTTTTCACATGCAATGAAACAGGAGGAGAGACAGGATCAAATGGAGTGATGCCATCAAGAGATGGTGCTTAAGAACATCTTACGTGGAGGCGAAAGGAGCAGCAGCAAATCGTATTACATAGAGAGCAATGGGGACCAACTTTCGTATCGAAGGTTTTTTTTTAACCTTCGTATCGAAGATGGCACATGATGATGATGATGATGATGATTATGATGATGATGATGATGATGATTATGGTGATGAGATGATGATGATGATGGTGATTTTGATGATGAATATCAAAATCTACATTTATTGACAAACGATGACATTATTCAGAAATATGTGAACATTTGGTAGCATTTTATAGACTTATGTTTATATTTAGCAAATACTTACTTGCTTTACGCTGAATATTAAGGTCGTGTCGGAGATGCTTTCAACCAATAGTGAAGGTTCGACATCAGGGAGCTTTCGATTTGTGCGACGACACGACGCTGGAACGGAATCACTCATGCGTGACCGTCCTACCTACCTGGCGTCCTACCTTCTCTGCATACGTAGATTTAGCCGAAATGCGTTCCAGAATCTACTTGACGAGGTGACCTTAACGTTCTCTTTACGGCGTCATTACTTTCTACGTCCTACATTCGTCGTGCAATCCAAAGCTCCCTAACAAGTACAGCTGTTACCGTACTATTTTTAAAGGGTAATGTGCCGTACGAATTTGATAATGTAGACGCGTCTACATATAGTATGATATTATTATCGCTGAATAATAAAATAAAGGCCTACATACTTTTTGCGTCTGACTGGTAATTTCCTCCAATCAATTCCCTCTTTTGTCTTCCAGTACTTTCAGCTTCTCGTTTTGATTTCACTGTAATGGTAAATATATGTTGAGTATAAAATTAGGTCTATCCCAAATAAACTCGACAATACATTCAATTTTCTCATATTTGCATAATATCATTACCATTTGCTCCACTAAACTCCATATGTGTAGCGCTTACAGGTACTTCGCGCTTTTGACTGCGCGTTTCCCTTCTACGTCTGCGAGTCATATCTCCTGCGTCCTGTACAGTTGTTCCACAGACGAATACTTGTAACGCTTCATTAGCAGTTTGTGCTGAGACCGTACCAGAAAGATCCTCCAATATATTGTCCGGTAGAATGTTACTAATATTCATTGTTGATTTTAAAGATGGGAGTGCATCTTGTAGCTGGTTTATTAGATTGTTAACTTTCTTCACACTTTCAGTTGCATTTTCAAGTTGGTCACTTATTGAGAATTTAACAATCTAAAGAAAAAGGTGAAATAGGACCGACTTCAAATATATTTATCACGGAAAGAATTACTATATTTAAACTAACTATATTGCTAAGTTAACCTTTCACTTGGTGTGGGGTACTTAAAATCTTAACCATAATTTAAGATGAAATTTAATTACTGGATAAATTCATGTTGACAATTTCAAAGGCCTGTGAGTAGCAACGTAGCAATGGGTCTGAATGGGAGAGATACAAAAGAAGCTATACTATTTAAAAGCTGGTTCCAAAAGAAGGCAGAAGCATAAGTAAAGGAACGATGCCTATTACATCATTAAATATTTAGATGGCAGGCCTATTATCAGAATAGCGTATTTAACTTACATCTATAACAATTTCACCAGCGTCCAATTGTTTGAATAAGAAATCTCCCAATTTAACTAATTCCTCTGGCTCTGCGTGACACAGTGCATCTGCAATATCCGATGTACTCGTATTATTTGGAAAAGTCAGAAGCTTATCCAATTGCTCTTCATCGCAGAAAACACTTGCGAACGAATCAAAATATTCCAAATCTAAAATCTACAAAGATGATTAAACAATAACAAATTAGGCTGTATCTTATGAATGTGTTTTCTATTTGGTATACACGATATTTAGGGGTGATACAAACTAGAGACATAATTCATTAAATATCATTATTTAATATCATGGCAAATGAAGAAATTCATACATAACGTTGATAATAATGTTAAGAAATTGCTAATGTGTGCCTGAAATAGACCCTGATGTAAACATCTATAGCTAAAACTCTGAAAATCTAAACATGTTCCTATAAAATAAAAATTAACATAAATATATATATGTCAATGAAATACTTTGAACTTACGTTTTCAAGAAGGACAAATGAGTCGAGAAGGTCTTCCGCAGATTTTTCTGACAACCCTAGTTCGGTAATCAAGAACATTTCTACTTCTTCGGTGTCATAAAACATATTGCCGAGTTTGAATGCTAGAATAATAGTACATAATTACAAATTAAAACGTCAATGGTTTAAAAATCACAAAAAAGTATATTATTATTATTATTATTATTATTATTATTATTATTATTATTATTATTATTATTATTATTATTGTTATTATCATTATTATCATTATTATTATTATTATTATTATTATTATTATTATCAATACTTACGCATAGAGCGCATGTCTTATATGAAATAATATAAAAAAAATATTTATTTATTTAAATTACTTTACCTTTTCTATAGTATAATATTGAGAATATAATTTGAATTAAAGTTTATATAATACATTTACATGAGAATACGTTTGAAGATTTTGCATCTGTCAAGAGTTAATAAATATTTAATTAAGGTAAACTCGCTGGATAAAATCCACGCACTATTTTCAATGATGTTACCACTAAAATCTAAAAAAATGAGCAATCAAACGTATATAATAATTACAAATAATGAGTACATTAAGGCCACTTTGCTATCATGTAGTCAATCAATTACTCATTCCATTTATATGGCGCCATTTCAACAGTTGTTGCCGATCCAAAAAAAAAAAAAGAGTTTATAGGGTAGTGACTTACAACTGTCAAGTGAAGGTGATTTATTATATTTAACATTTATTTAAATTAAAGTGAATCAAGTGAATTACGTATACGGTAAACTTACTTGGAAGCTCTCCGATTAGATTTCGAATGAACCCCAAATTTTCCAATGCATCCATGAGCATTGCAATCTCTTTGTATAGTTCGTTTTCTCCAAGGATTGGTTCAAATTCATCAAGAACATTACCAATACTATTAATTATGAATATAATGAAAAATCAGCGTGTGCTGTAATTTGAGCAACAAATGTATGTAGTGTGTTTATGATGCAGGGGCGAAATATCCAGAACCCTGGTATCTTGTGAAATTGCTAAAACATGAAGCCTATGTATACACATTAAAAGTAAAAACAAAATGCAACCAGTGTAAATCAAATTATAGAATAAATTGTTTTTTAAGAAACTTATAGTACAGTAACAAGCTTGAATTTCAAAGGTGGTTTCCTTCATAACTAGTAGAAATATACATACCTTCTGAATATGTCGGAGAATTCACTGCCTGTTGATAGTACAGCAACCAAATCGTATACACTCATGATGCCATTTTTAAAATCGTCTGATATACCCAATAGTTCTCGAAAACTCTCGTCACTGACACCCATGAATAGTTCGTACAGCTCCATCATGTCCTCCTTCATGGACGAATCGTCTAATTGTTTTGTTTGATTTTTCATCTAAAGAATGTGTAAATATACATTATATACATGAATATATATTATTTTCATGACTTGCTAATTCATGTTATGTTACATAATGTATTTAAAGAGGTACCAGCAAAACCCAGATCTACAAAGATATTCTGTCTACCTACAGTAGTGGTACAGGAGAGTGGTTGCTTTGCAGAGCACTGTGGCAGGGCTAATGATCAAATAATCACATCTAACAATCATACAACTCTGTCAAATAGAGAAAACCGACCTCTAACTTATGCTGGTCCTTATGCAGAAATACCGTTATTTAATGAACTTCCACTTCTTTATAAATGTCTTTTTGATTTTGTTTCAAATTTTACCATGGAAAAACCATACTTTGTACAAAACAAAAGAAGGCTTTAATTTCTACAAGAGTATTACATTACTTTATTTACTAGTATTATTAATAACTTTTATTTTTTTTGAAATGTTATATAGAGTAGAGATGAAAAAATGAACGAAAACAATGAAAAAAGAGTGACAATAAAGGTGGATTACTCCCACGAAAGAAAAAAAAAATACCGGTAATCTACAAGCTTGTGCAGCTTTTGGGAGTAAAGACCAATGGTATGCAACTCTGTACAGAAAAAGCAACCGAAGGATGGAGATACAATAACGTCGGTCATACCTGACAATAAACAGGTCAGTACAGTGGTTTCATTTTAAAATGAAACATCCGCAAGAACCCATAACTGATTCGGATTGCATAACACCGTATTATTTATTTGTTTAAATATATATATATATATGGCTTTTGCATCAACAAAGGGATGGATAAAATTGGTACTTTCAATGCTTATTAACAAACTCTCCTTAACAAAGATTGGAAGAGTTGTAATAATTATCATTATTAAACTTACACAAAAGCATATGTAAGATACAAACATTAGAAAGTTTTATAATAACTTAATTAGTATTATAATTTAAAAAAAAACCAGATTAGAACATATCTTTATAATTTATTAAATGATGTTTCTTACATGTTCAATTAATTTTAGAATATCAATAGCTTCGTAAATATACTGGATTATTTTGGGGTCTGTTGGAGAACATATCACAGCGTAGACAAGCTCCAAAGACATTTCTTCGGAAGTAAAGAGGTCGTCAAATGTTGATTCGTTGCAAATCAGATGATATATATCAATATCAGAGGAGTCATCCAAATAAGTTAACTATGATAAACAAAACAAAAAAATAGTATGGTAAAAGTAGTTGTAGCCGTGTTAGTCCGAACATATATTGATAACAGGTAATGATGAGGCAACACTCTGAGACTAACTTTAAAGATGTAATTTCATTAGGCACGAGCTTTCGCTGGCAGTCAATGCTGGCTTCATCCGGTAAAGAATAGTATTAGTTTTATTGATAAAAATAATAAATTGACGATTGAGTATTAATGACTAATGATACATGTTTATGCTTCAACACGATTGGTATTATATATAATAAATATAATTCATACTTATACTGATAATCATATACTTTAATAATCATTAGTTGAATTTTGGCTTTAATCATTATCATAATCATAACCAACATTGTAGAAGTTTTCAGGAGAGGTTCGACGCAGCGGCTGCGATACGGCTCTTCAACCTTGAGGTCGGAGGTTCAATCCCACGCTATGCATTTCGCTTGTGTCCTTAGGCAAGACACTTTACCCACGGTTCCCTCTCTCCACCCAGGAAAACAATTATTGGGTACCCGGTAGGTTCAAACACAAAATGCGCTGATTACAGCTTAAACATTATGGAATTCTCCCCAGGGAACGAGTATGTGTTCAATGTGTGCTTGATCCATTCACCAGGGGAAATAATGTAAAGCGTGCGCTTAGAGGCCGTGTTGGCATATAGCTGAAACTTTATGGAATTCTCCTCAGGAACCTGAGTATGTGTGCCATGAGAAACATGTGATCTTGATCCAATGAATATTGTTAAGCGCAAATAGGTCTCTACAATATGCGCTCTATAATTCGAGTATTATTATTATTGTTATTATTATTATTATTATAATTATTATTATTATTATTATTATTATTATTATTATTATTATCATTAAGCCTATCATTATTATCATTATCATTATCATTATTATTATTATTATTATTATTATTTATTAGTTTAATGTTAGTAGCTCTATTGATATTTAATGTTATTTATAAACATATTTTGTTGTATAATATTTCTATACTTCACTAAACTATATTATGTTAATATTATTTAATATTTCATGAGGATGTCAGTTGTTAGTTTCACTTTTGAATTTGTATACACAATAAACTTTACATATTGTACATTTTGGTACTAACACACATATCTTAACATATCGCGTTCATTGTGATAATATCTGTAATCAAATTTAATCATTTGCTGACAATGTTTAGTAAAATTATATTTAGGACTAAATGAAAACAGTTCAGTAGCATACCTTATCAGCATTTAAGAATAGATTCATTATCTGATCAATCGTCTCTGGGGATAGATCTGTAGTCTCAGTCAGCCAATCTGAGACTGCAGTTGAGTTGTGTAATATGTCGGCTAGCCTAATTAATACTTCAGCTGCAGATTGAATAATAACGTTAAGCTATATGACAGATAGAGACTAATACCATCATATCATCATCATCATCATCATCATCCTCATAGTCTTCACTAATACCATTATCATCAACATCATTATCTTTATCCTAATCATCGACAGTCTTGTGATAATAATATATATATATATATATATATATATATCATTCATTATATATAAACCATTATATATAAATCATTATATATAAACCATTATATATAAATCATTATATATTGTATATATTTAAAATGTATCAGTTCCACAAGCGCTGCATCATCAGCCCAATAATGTTTTAACGGATTCTTGAGTCCGATCGCTTATAAACACACATTAAAGTTGTTTCCTTATGTATGTAACCCCCCTAAGCTTATCCATTTTTTTAAATATTAAATGTTTCAATCAGGTAGTTGGAATTGTAAAACGTACTTGAATTAAACTGTCCTTGCGTTCCATATTCGAATAGTTCAATAATAAGCTTCAGAAGATCAGTATTCATGTCATCGGATGTGAACTGCTCTAAGATCGAAATGATTGAGGTCATTCTGTCAGACGAAAAACAAAAACACGTAAAAACGAAAAAATAATAATAAGAACAATTAAATTAGCATTAATTATTAATATATTATCATTAAAAATCAATGATACTAGAAGAAAAGAAATACATAAATCTATGCACTTTTATTACACAGAATAACCTTACCCTTCTATCTCTTCGCTATCAAGTTCATTTAAGAAACCCAAGAACGCGATAACATCACCAATGTACTGCTCGAAAAAGATTTCATCCTCCAGCATTCTGCTTATGTTACCGGACACGGAAATAACATCATGAACAAATTTTTCAACTTCGGCATAGAAAACAGGACAGTCAAAAGGTCGATATGATACCTCTTCAATCTATTAAAAAGCAAGGAATTATTAACATAAAGCGTATAATATTTAACTTTCCATACGAGTTTTTACATGTTAAAAGATGGAAAAATTACTAAAACATCTAGTAGCAATCATATTTGTTGTAATAAATTATTGATATCCAAGTAATATATCAATTTTATTAGCTGAATTTATGATAATTATCTGTTACTTAGTAATTACTGTATCACTCACTTCAGTTAATAATGCAGATGTATCAATAGTAGAGGACATTTCCTGAACAAAATCAGTTTCCATGATCATACGCATGCTACAGGTTGTGACAACAAAGTTCGCCAGATCAGCACTTTCATCAACACCGAAAGTTGCTTTTATGGCTTCTTCATCACAAAGAATAGGTTCAAAGGTGTCATATTCGTTATACAAATATTTAAGCTGAAACATGAAAAGAATGTACCCGTATTACCTTGGATTTCTTGATTAAATCATTATCAACGAAACGAGTAGAAGTTGAGAGCCTATTTTTTTTGTTAAACCATGACAATGCCAATTTTTGAGTTGGACTTTAGGCAAGGCACTTCAGTATAATTATTCGTTCTTTGAAGGCGGCATTAAGCCGTTAAATTATTTGTATTAAATTTGCTACGCAAAAAAAAAAAACAAAAAAAAAACAAAACAAAACAAAACAAACTTAGTAAACGGCTAGAAAGGTATAAGGCATGGTATTATTTCCTATTAATGTGGTAACTAGTTCGTGTGTTATGATGTATTAGTGGAGTGATTGTCACTCTAATTTAAGATAGTTAGTAATCAGCTCTAAAATTTAGAATTATACTGTGTAAATATATATATATATGTATATATATATATGTATATATATATATATAAATAATAATAATAATAATAATAATAATAATAATAATAATAATAATAATAATAATAATAATAATAATAATAATAATAATAATAATAATAATAATAATAACAATAAGGAACTTGTAATTTCACTCTACAGGCTGTTTCATGCACTAGGCAATCTTCAGGAGTGAAGGGAATTTCAAATTTGACGGGTGTATGTGGGGTTGGGCCGGTGTAGATACAAATTAGGTATTATGTGTTTTTGAGTAGGAATTTGGCACGGTGTCTGCACTTTGAAAGGAGTTCGTGCCTTTTGTTCAAAGTCTGTCTCTTATACACATCTAGATGTGTATAAGAGACAGCTGTACTAAGTATACAATACTGCCACATTCATATGCTAATTACTCAGTTTAACAATTAGCGAGAGTACACTGGTTTGTAGATGGCAAGCTTTAAATAATAATTATTATCTCGAAAAGAAGACTATCTGGAATTGAAGCCCCTTCTTTATTTTGCAAATCTAGTTTAGGAGATTGATTTATATAGTAGTGTAGGTGATTTAATGCCAGTTAATACACTCCATGATACAGATTGATGTTTTATAATACAAACTCCCACAATTTACAGCATTCCTTTTGAATAAAAGCCCCCCACCCACTTACATTGAAAAAGTGGCCTCGAAAAGATACCCATCTCGAAAATAAGCCCACATGAAGTTTGCAAAAACAAAAAAAGGAGAAGCTTAGGGTTTCAATTCGAGGTTTTACGGTAATTAAATGATAAAAATATTTACTTTAATTTTTTTGTTCATCATTGTCTTGTGTAATATTTTCAACACAACTAATGCTTAAGTATACCACAAAAAGAACAGATATGAGATAATATTTACCATTGCATAATTAATTACCTGATATTTTGATAGTGTGTTATAAGATTCATTGTGTGCTCAGCTGACCCGATTGATTCCTTTATCCAAGAGTAATCATCATTGAGATACGGAAGAACATCCTCGATAATTTTTAATAAACTGTTACATTGTAAATTAAACAAAGAGAGTATATTTATTTTGTTATTTATCATAGTCAACAAAATTATCAAAGTCAGAACCATCGTCATCATCATTGCTATCATCATCACCACCATTACCAATATCGCTCTTATCAATAACCATCACTTTCATTATTGGAAAATGGGCCGGCGGAAATGGACCTTGGTTGACAACATTGCGAGTGCCAGCCTGCATACCCGTGGTTGTGGGTTTACGTGCTCGACTTTGAATAAAAATGTTATCTATATTATACTCACTCTTTCATGTTTTGTGAATTTTGCTCGTTCTGTAACGCCATAAGCCGCGCAAGAATATCTGTATAGTCGTCATCTCCTGGCATGCTATAAACGTTACTAAGCCAGGAAAGTAGTTCCACTACTTCTATTGTCCTTTCAAGAACATCTTCCCATTCGGAATCTTCCAGTGGAGTCTTCTCTGATGGGTATATAATTCTATCAATCTTCAAGAACAATTAGATTATTTGAAAATAATTAGGTTAAAAGTATATAAAAAAGCATATTGTAACATTAAATAATACACATACAATAATTTGCTAGACTTCCTCTTAGTTACCTAATCAAAGCACCAATGTTTATCTTAATTTCACGTTGATGTTAACAAAGCAGTTAAAAAGTAAAATATTAATTCAAATTTCAACATTTGATGCAATTAAACTTTTAACATTAAATATTATTTATTCGAACATTGTATTTACATTTCTTTGATGAATTATATATAATTTAACAGTGTTAACGGCTATCTTGATTTATATTATGTGCTATTATTTGTTTCCAGCCGTACCTATTGTGTAATAGAGTGTATCTGACGTAATTTGAATCTGTCTGTTGTCTATTGGTTATGACGCTTGCCTTGACAGCGGGAGGTCGCACGTTCGAATCCCGTCAGAGGCATTTTATTACACAATTTATTTATTTATCTATTATAGGACAACATTCGTTGAAAGCTTTGCTACATGATTTATTATTATGTCCTTTATTCGAACATGGTATTTACCTTTCTTTGATGATTTGTATCCTGTCTCTTATACACATCTAGATGTGTATAAGAGACAGATATATTCCTATATACAAAATATAGCATCATAGGAAAGACTCCAAAAGTGAGTCATAACGTTTGTATTACCTGTGCTACCAGTGCGAGTACATCTATATTGTGTGCATTACTTGCATGAATGAAGAAGGCCGTCGTGTTCATTTTGCACATTGATTGTTGAACCGCCGTGATGTTGAATGGTTCTATATCGTTAAATATTAACGTCAGTCGAAAGTTCTCCGGATCGCAGAACACATCATTCCACATACCATAATTGTAGATATGAGCAAGCTAAGGAGTAAATATTTTTTACTGGTAAGTAAATTGAATGGATTCTCAAAAGAAGCCCTACTACGACCTGTCGTTTGCATCTCTAACTATAATGCCTCATAAAAAATGTCTAAGTTAAAATTCATAATAAACATCTATATGTGTGACTCAGTACAGGTCATCAAAAAGATATTTAATGGTATGCTTATTTTGATGTGTATCAATTTTTCTTCTTCCTAATAATGAGCTAACTTTACACCTGAAGGCTCCGCTCCGCTAGCTCAGTTTTGCATCTTAGTATCAGGCTGTGCGGTATTCTATTTTTATATTATATTTTATTTGTTTTACATTTCTTAATTTTTTTATATTATTTTTCTATATAAACTATCAGTTTCTAGCTAAGTTTTAACTCAAAAGCAGCCCCAACTATCTAACAACAATTATTCTTTATTTCAATGAATATAAAGAAATAATAAAAAAAGTATCCTCATCATCTAACTCCCTGAGTGTCAACCATCCGTGGTCACCGCTATCACAATGTCTGGACTGCTCCCTAGGAGGCACAATAAAGGAATTGGAGCAGCAACGTTTACCCTGCCTCTGCCATCCATCCCAGCTAAGCATGTACTCAGTGATAATTAATATCATAGGGCTATTTTTACATAAATTCCCCTTTTACACAATATAAAATGTTATCGAAAGTTATGTAGGGCCTACAATACAGAAAATCCGTAATACCTCATATATAGAGACGAACTGAGTAAGAAGAGTAGCCTCTAGTTCTCCCACGGGTACATCCATCTGTTTGTATAATGTTTCTAAAGGAACACTGGAGTTAAACAGATCAAGCAGTATACGTCCTATATAAATAGATAAAACAAAATATTTGTATTTCTTGTAGATAGGAACTAGAGCGATTTTTAATGGCTGAGTCTGATTTTTCATTTGTGTTTTTCCATTCCTAATGCTGAACTTCATCGGCAATCCGAAAGCGTGTTTAAATGGTGTTGAATTAAGGTAAGTCTCTGACTTACCTTGGGCAGAAAATCTGTTGTAATCGTAATGACAAAGATGATATTAGACGCTTATAGATCATTATGCAATCGAAAACATTATCTCGTAAGTTCGGCAAATGCTAGGATATTTTCAAATGCTTTCTATTTAAAACTTAATGTATGAGTATTGTGTATCTCTACATGGGTGAATTACACTGAAGGCGCACTTAATGATCTACGAGTCTGTTACAGCAATACCTTATGGCTGTTGTTAAGGCTGCCTAGACACTATAGGTCTAATAGCATGGGGACCCATCTTTTGGGGAATATATACAAAACTCTGCTTCCTCTTTTTTTTGCAAAGAATGGAAGTAAGTACCACTGAACTGATTTCATGCGTTGTAGTGGTAAGGTCATCAAGAATCCATCGTCGTATGGTCAGTGTTTTTTTTTTAAATTTACATGTACTAGTGTTTCCAAAATAAAATTTTGATTCGTTATAAAGAAAAGGAGCAATATGTGTTACTATACATAGTGATTGAAGCATTGTATTGTAAAACGTTTATTATGATAACACATAAATGTGCCTGTAACGTAGACTTTTAAAGGGTAATGTTACCTTGTTCATGTGTTTCCTTTATGATTGATTCGAGTATCAAATTATAAATTTCTATATACGGCTGAACATGCTCTCGTAATCCAGCATCTTCAAAATATTCTTCAGTATAGTTTGCAATATCTATGAGACTGAAAATTGCAGATAACACACAGTTATTAAACATGTTAGACATTACGGTATTAAGAAAAAAAAATAACTTATAAAAATATTATAATATATAATATAATTGGTCAATTCCGAAAAGAAACTTGACAGAGAAAAATACAGGATTCCTACCTGGAACCCTTTGGAATAATTTGAATAACCTTTTCGACTAAACTAAACATTATTTCAACGTGTCTGATGACATTGCCATACCGTAGCACAATTTCAAAAGGACTCTCAACAGTCAGATAGATTAAAGTGCATTTAAGAGTTAACCCCCAAAAAACAACACTGTCCTGTTGAATGACAATGAGCCATCAAGTAGCCTACCACATTGTTCCCCTCCATAAAATTCCAATTTTTACTTATTAGTAAATTAAATTTTTTAACTTATCTATATCTTTTCTAAAAAAAATAATTTTTTACTGTTTTATATATACCTAATTTCTCCTGATAAATACATCTCCTGAATCCTCAAAGCCGTATGCAGAGATTCGTTGATGAGTGCTGTTGTGCTTTCATCTAAAAAGAAACTCAACATATCCAGATTTGTTTCAGTTCTGTAAAAAAAATTCCCAAAGTTATATTTAGTGAACATCCTTTCCATTGTAAACAAGTGGGGCTAAACAATAGCACTGTGGTAGTAGTGTTGTTGATGTTCAATAAACATGTTTGACTCAGGAACCTGCTTTCTACCAAACACAAAACTGTTAATATGCCAATACATAATCAAACTTTACTTAAATTTGGAATTGCATTAGTTCAAGTGGCGGCTCCAGAAATTTGCAACAGGGTGTTCGACAATTCCGGTAGGGATGGTGGGGATCGAAACCAGGAGCCGACTCCTCAGTCAGGGTTCCGAAATAAACTACCAGGTAGGGTGCATTTTTTTTATCATTAAATAAACTTACTTGCTAAGATCTTCAAGTGAATATCGATTTTGTAAACCTGCTAACAAGTGTAGTGTTGCATTCAACTGGTGAATATACCATTCTTCGCTGTACATTTCAAATTTCGCTGGGTTTTCAAAAAGTGTTGTTAAAGAATTCACGAAATTCGATATCACAACAATGCTCTCGGTGAGGTTGAAAGCTGAGTGCGCCTTAAAGAAAAAGTACAAGTTATAAATATATATATATATATATATATATAGGAAGGAACTATATACAAGGAACTTTCCCTGAGGAGACAACACAAATTTGGTCGAGATAATATCACTTCAACACAAGTGATCGAACCTTCGCACAATATTTCGCTTTCACGTAAACCTAGAAGGTTCATTCGGCGCTTTAGTGATAATCCGTGCAACACCACGGATTCAGTTGTTCAAATTAACTGCATTCGGCGCTTTAGTGATAATCCGTGCAACACC